ATAGATAGATAGATAGATAGATAGATAGATAGATAGATAGATAGATAGATAAACAGACATATAGATAGATGTATGTATGCATATATGTGTATGTATGTTTGTATGTCTACATGCATATATACATATGTACACATACATATATACAAAATGTACATTTGTTTCTATATAACATATCCAATTCTATATTAATGTTTATATTAATTTTAAAAGAGTTGATGTGTTAAGCTATGTTATATAATGTTATATATTATATACTACAATGTATTAATATTTATATAAATACATTAATTTATATATGTATACACTCATATTGCTGGATGAATGTAAGCATCCCACTTAAAGTCTGATTCTGAATATATAAAATGGAATATCTACCTACTCAACTGAGTGACTAGTCAATAAATATTTATTTAGCACCTACCATGTGTGAGATACTATAAGAATTCAACTGTGTTCATTGGTATTGTATGAACATATAAGACATTGATTGTCCATAAATGTGTTTTAAAAGATATATTTCCATTTCCAGGGTAGATTTGAAGATCAATTGCTAGGTTTCTTGATTATTAAGCTTCCAGAGGAGTTAGTGTAAAGAAAGTAATATCACTCCCCAATAGTCAACCAGTTCATGAGACATTTGTTGAAAAGATGATTGTTTTTTTTCTTTTTTACCTCCCTTCTGGAGAAAAGTGGAAATGCACTTTTACATGGTGGGAAAAACAAACAACAAAAAGCCAGCTCTGCTGCACAAACCAAACACAAAATTAGACCTGGATTACCCAAACTAATTGTCTAGATTGTGTCATCTTTGAGACTTCCTTGGAGAACCACTAAAAAGCATTCTTGATGCAAAACTGGACATATGGCTTTAGCTTGTTCTGCTCCCTCACTAATCACTTAGGAGAAGATTAAACATCTGTATGCTAATTTCAGGGACAGTTTCCCATACTTATCAAGCACAAATGTGTTTTTACCCTTTCCCTCTTGGGCTGAAGAAGCATTCTCCAACCTTAGTAGTAGCACTTGCTGAGTACACATTTCCTTTCCTGGCCCCACCCTATCTCTTCTTTCCTGAGTGGAGTAGGAGAGGTAATCAACCTAGCAGAACGGTAATCACTACTCCAACATTAATAAGATTGAGTCAAGACTTGGAAAGGTCCCTCTGGGTTCCATTATTTAACGTGTCCTGAACAGTGAGCCATCGCTGAGGGAGATGTTACAGTAGATTTTTTTATCCCTGCTTGCTGCCAGGAAACCTTTCCCATTGAGGACACCCTAGGCAGACAACCACATCTGACTCCAAGTAAGTATACCACCCATCTACCAGAGAGACAAAGATTACCAGAAACAAAGGAGCCACACGGGCTCACATACAGAAATTTTTTAAATAATATATATTAACAGTCATCATTATATACTTTGCTGCATTTCATTCAACCAGCCCTCTGTATCTCTGACTAATTCACCTATAAAATATATTTTTTCAACCCTAGAACTTAAAATACATATAACAGTAGTGTCGATTTTCAGAATGAATACACTCCTGCCTCCTTCCCCCACCTGCTCGGCAATTTCCAAGAGCATTTCCAAGCTTAAGGACACACTGACAAGAGCAAGATTCCTTCCACTCACGGAGCAGGGCACATGGAGAAAAGATTACTCCAAATCCGCATGCTGTCACCAATCACTAGGAAAGAGAGAGGAGTTGTGGATGGGGGAGTGAAAAGTAAGCAACACCAACCTTGAGGATCCCAGTTCACCTGTTTTCTTGGAGTCTCGATTGGAAATTTCATTGCTCCGTTGCCCGAAAAGGGAGAGAAAATGAAATAAGCTCCCCAACTTCTCTGTCTCGGTGCTGCAGTCCAATGAATTAATTTCAAATGATAGCAGAGACTGGACTGATTTGGCTCAGCAACCTCAGGGAAAGCCCACCAAGAAAAAATATACACGCTAAGAAGGAACTAGAGAAGGACTTATTATTTTTAGTTGTATTTGTGTGGAAGGCAGCTGCACCCAGGATGGAATCAAAAGTGAGATCTGCAGGGGAATTGTTGGAGAGGAAGACCCCAGTAAGATTAGCCAAGCTGATCCAAAATGTGATCTCGTCAGGTGCGAGGTTCTGCAGCCCAGATGGTCTAGTCCATGTGCTGAGAGGATAGTGAGAGGGAAAAGCCCACTGCAGTATTACTACACACATCGAAGGCGTGTGAGCACACACATACATGCGCACGTCAGCCTGGCACACTGACTAACACAAATGCAGTCCGCACTCAGCAGCCCCTTCCTTCTCCACCACTACACCCACGGCACATCTAAACTACTCCCGCCCAGCATCCTCAGCACCAGCCATTAGACAGCCTTAGCGCAAAAAGCTGCACCAGCCCCCACTTTGGGGAGGTCGCAGGGGGCGGTACAGCACTGGGCTGAAGAGAAGGGAAGGGGAGGAGAAGGGAGACCATCCCAGATGAATGCAGCAGTAGCAGCAGCAGCAGCATCACCACCGGCAGCAGCAGCAATAGTAGTAGTGGCAGTGGCAGCAGCCCATTTAGCTAAGAAGAGAGAGGAAAGGCACGTTATCTTTGGAGGGAGTTCTCCAAACTAAGCGCTCCTCTGCCCTGACTAGGGGAGCTGTTTAGTAACTTGTAAAGGGAGGGTCGTGGGCTGGGAGGGGGGGGCAAAGTAGGGAGAATCCTTGTTATTTGTGCATTTAGAAAGGAGACAAGTTCGTGAGGGGAGTGAGGAAGACTGGACGAGAGACATTGAGAGTTAGAGAGATTGCGGACTGCCTGGAGTCTGGAAACTGTATCTACTTACTGGCTTTGATCTCTGGGTTGAGTGGAGGAGGAAGAAGGAGGAGGAGGAGGAGGATGCAGTGTTGTTAGGCGGAGTTTGCAGTCAGCCAGAGACACGCTTGGCTGGCTGGTGGCAGCACCAGCAGCAGCAAGAGAAGACGCCCTTCCTTGGGATAACCTCTTTGCAATGGATTCTATCCCAGGCCCCCTAAATGTCCTCCACCTCAAGCCCCTCTTGCTCCTATTTCCTTGCTCCAGCCGGTGGGTAGAATGTCTCCACCTCTTTCTTTCGGAGGAGACCAGAAAAAATCCATAAGCCTTTTGTTTGCTGAGACTACTCCCATATCTGGCGGGCGTGATCTCTCTCTCTCCCTCTTAGCTGCTAAGGGAAGCCTCTCTCCCTAGACACAGCCCAAGCTCCCTTCCCAAGCTACGTAGCATATGGCTGGGGTTGTTTCACCTTAAGGACAGGGAGGGAAGTTGGACAGAGAGGAAAAAAAAAAAAAAAACTCGGGCAGAAGGAGAGAGGAGTTCTCAACAGCCTGGCTACCCCAGGAATCAACAGCTCCAGCTGGCTGCAACACAGCAGTGGAGGTTCCTTCCCCAGGAACTGATGGTTCTTATACATTTCCTCCTTGTAGGTCATCATCTTTCGCTTCCCTGAACAGGACTGGACAGAACATTTGGCACTTACTGTTACATTCTGTTCCACTGACACAACCTAAAGCCAAGCATGTGATGGCAAAGGTTGAGTGGGTGTCCGCGTGGGGAAAGGTGGCAAGGCCTTGACTTCTGAAAAGGCTTGAATTTTATCACTTTGAAGGTGATAAAATGGTCTTGTTGAACTGGATAATCTCTAAGATCTCTTCTAGTTCTAATGGTCTATGAATCTGAAAGATTATTCACTGGAAAAAAATCTATTTATAAGCAGTCTCTTGTGTGGAGAGGAAGCCTTGGGTAAAGGATAGAGAAGCTGGTCTCAGAAAAAGGAAGACCTGGGTTCAAATTCCACCTCCAACACATCCTGGCTGTAAGACTCTAGTCTCATCACTTACCCTCATAGTGCTTTAGGCAATTCTTTAAGACTATAAGTTGCCTTGGTAAAGTTTTCCTCATGAAGGAGATCCCTCTATCAATGAAATCACAGGTCCAGTCCCTATCCCTATTTTATGTATTTCATGAAGAGGGAACAATTTAAGGATGGATTCTGGGTCCTATAGAATATTCAAACTGGAAGGAACCATAGAAATCATTCAGTCCAACCCCTTGATTAACAGAGAAGGAAGCTCATTGGCAGCAAGAGACTCACCTGTAGTCACATAACTGGTAAATCATAGATCTGTGATTTGAACCCAAGCTTCCTAACTCCCAGGTAAGTGCACTGCACAGGATGTTATTGGTTATTTTTTTTATTTTACAGAAATCACTCTCTTTTTCATTCTTATGTCTCTCTGATAGGACTCTAGAGGTGGCCATGTGTTAGTATGATTGACCAGAGGTTGCTGGGAAGATTTGTGTTGACCTAGGACTTTCTTTTTTTCTTTGTGACCTAGGACTTTTTATATATTCCAAATGAGACACTCAGCCTTCTAACTCTGACCAGAAAAGATATCCCTGCAGAAGCTCACCCCAGTCTGTACTTTGTCCTTTAACACCAGGTGGGGTTCAAACTGGCTGCACGAGTTGGAGTCAAAAGGAATCAAAAGTTGCCACCTTTGTGGCAAAGGTTTTTTAACCTTTTATGTAAAATAGATCCTCCTTTGGCAATCTGGTGAAACATATGGACCTTTTCTAAGAATGTTATTAAATGCATAAAATAAAAAGATAGGGGATTATAAGAGAAAACAATTACACCAAAGTATAATTATCAAAATATTAAGAAAAACAAGTTCCCAGATACCATGTTAAGAACTCCTGATCTGGAGATATGATTGCTGGCCTGTCACCTCTTAGTGGAATAGTAGTGTTGGATTTGGAGTGAGAATGCAAATTACAGGATTTAAATATAGGTTCTTCTCTGAGCAACCTTGTCAATAGGAAACCTCTCTGGGTCTCATTTCCTTTATCTGTAGAAAGAAGAGTTAGGACTAGTATCTCTATCATCTTCTAGCTTGTGAATCTATGATTAGGTAGAGTCAGGAAATAGATATGGCAGTAGCATATTAGAAAGAAGACCAAGGTCAGGGTCAGAAGACTTAGGTTTGAGTTTTGGTTCTGGCTCATTACTTACTATCCATGTGACCTGGGTAATTCATTTCACCCCTCTGGGCTTGTTTCTTCCTCTGGGAAACACAGGTAGTAATACTTGCACAATCTCCCTTACAGGGGTGTTGTGGCAAAAGCAATTTGTATCCATGCTACTAAGCCATCCTCTTAATTCAATTTCCCTGCTTATTCCCCCTTCCACATTAGAATACTTTGAAAACATGAGAGACTACAATGTAAAAAAAAAAAATAAACAATCTATTATTACTATAACACATACAGATCCTATGCTCAGGTTTAAAAGGAGCTGTTCCAGAGGTCCTTCAGCAAGAATCTTAAATTCCTATTCCCCTCCCTCTTTCCATCTTCCAGTGTCCTCATGGTCCCTGTGCAGAGCAGCCTAGGGAATCCAGCTAATTGTTTCACCTATGTAAGAACACCAGACCAGAGGAAGAAGATAACGTCAGATAAACAGAAGGAAAGAATCAAAATGAAACACTGATGAGAAGTAGAATGCTGGCCACTAGTATAATTGTTACAGACAGGCAAGTTGATAGAGACTATGGAGAACTGGCCAACTCATCATCCACAATTCGAGGTGTAGTTGAAAGAGCATTGGATAAGGAATCAAGAGATCCGGGTTCAAATCCTGGCTCTAACACTTCCTAGGAGGCAAGCCACTTCACCTTTCTAAGCCTCAATTTCCTCATCTATAAAATGGGAATGATAACTATACTGTATACCTCATGGAACTATACGGAAAGCCCTTTTGTATGCTATGAAATTGCTAATAAATAAATTTTCATTTGATTCCCTTCCTCTTTGGCATAAAGTATGGTACCATTCAGGTATTCTGGCCTCTTAGAAGTCCTAAACTATTTGTATCAAAAAAAAAAGAAGAAGAAGAAGAAGAAGAAGAAAAGAAACTGCCCAAGGCAAAAATAACATCCAAAGATTTATCTACCAAATTAGAGCCTGAGCAGAGATAATCATAAAGTTGGAGAGTCCTTAGAAATCATCTAGTATTTGGTATCCTTATAAAAAACCCTTTCCAAGAATCCACTGCAGTGCACAGTCATCATAACTAATAGTTTAGGAGAGTCAGTCATTTGAGATAGACTGGATAAGAATGAAAAGAGAATAACAGATAGCTGAATAAGATTCAAAGAAGCTCCTATTTTATTTGGCAACTAGACCTTCAAATGTTCTTTCTCTTCTCTTCATGGGCATCAACTCTGCTAAATCATTCTTTATCCCAACTCTTCCTGATTTCCCCTAACTCTGTGTCTTTCCTTCAGAAACTTAACAAAGCTAAGTTTATAACAAACAACTCCATGCAATGAATCAAATAAATGTTAGCCCCCTTCCATCTCTGACATAAAAGTCCAAGTTTTAAACTATGTATACGTAATGAAATGCACAGATCCCCTGGGACTAGAACAATAACTTAGGGACTCATCCTTTGTGTTGTTTGAACTCTCCCCACCTCCTCCCGTGCCCCAGATGCCTCCCTCCCTCCGTCCCACCTTCTATCTCTCCCTCCCCACTCCCCTTTTGTTACTAGTAACTTATTTTCACTTACCCGAAGTAAGGAGAAAGTGGTGGTCTGTACTGAGTAATAACATCCAAAAAAGATTCGATGCAGAATGATTCCCTCCCCAGCTGTTCTGCAAGTTCCATGGTCATTGCTGCTGGTGTGTTAAGTCTTGTGGAAAGAAGAAAAGAAGCAGTCTGGGCTTCATGCGGCAGGAAAACAAAGCGTGTTGGAGCCAAGTGTCCCCCAGCCTTACAGCAGC